TCTGTAGATCTTGCACCAGTTATACTTCAGTAACATATTTCTGTCTCTTTTGTGTGGTCAGTCTGTGTGGTACTAGAGCCCTTGAAAATTTGAGTCTGCAGCAGAGTATTAGAATATGATAACATCAAAATAAATGAAGCTTTAACTATATAAGAAAAATATGTTAGACCAATGGGGCTTTCCAGGGAGCCTCTGAGTCTACTCATCATCATTGTGTTCACCAGAAGTTGTGTTGGAACATAGATTGTCATGTTTTCAGATAATGTAACTACTGTCTGAGAACAGAGAGGCCTTGGACCAGTTTCGGTATTGTTTAGCATAAATTGAGTTTGCCATAAACAGAAACTGGAAGCCTTATTTTTAGTACAGCATTGGCACTGTTTAAGTTAACAGTATGATTAGTTATGCAGTTGAGATAATTTGTCATGTAGCAATTTGAAAAGACTGGATAGAGCTAAGGCAATTTTCCTAAGGGAGGCCCTTCAAATACTGAAGTATACCATCACCAGAATAGTTTATCTGCTGACTGGAGCACAGTACTTTATTGGTGATTTCTGAATAACTCAAGTCTTCTGAACACAGGCCAGCAAAAGAGTTGTGAGGGAAAGACAGACCAAGAAGGACATAGATCCTGAATTTCTCCTACCCCCACAGTGACATTCAGTGAATTGAAAGTAGCAAATTTCAAATTGTGACATCTGCATACAAGAACAGCAGTGCATTCTACTATTATATCTGCAATCAAATAGGTTTTCACAACATCACTGGCACCAGTAAATGTACTGTCTGGAGCACTGTTGCCCACAGTGTTACAAACTTGTCTGTTCTGAAAGAATTTACTGATATATCATGCAAATGATGAAAACTTTGTGTAGTTGTATTTTGCACTAATATGCTCATAGTGTGTATGACCTTGCATCATAACTTCAGAAGGTTATACTAGAGGTCATTCTTAGTGAAAAATATTACATAAGCTTGGGTACAACTCTCAGTGGTTACACAGTTATGGGTATGGGAAAATACTGTGTTAGCTGAAATGTGCAAGTGCACTTTGGAACACTACCACATGTCAGTTGACCTGTTGCAGAATCTCTGAATCAGTGCTCTCCTAGTTGATGAATTGACCATGGGGGTCCGCAGAATTGGCCACTGATTGCACGACCTCAGCCTCTTTGACTTGCATGTATAGGGGCACATGAAAGATCTTGTTTATGAATGCAAGGTGGGCACCCCAGAAGACATAATCCATCACATTGTCAGTGCAGCCACACACTGAGACATTCTTTATTGTATGTCTTGTTCCATTATGAGATTGGTAAGAATGCATATCAAAACTGAAGGCAGACATTTTAAACATTTGCTGCAGCAGAATTCCAGGGTATGTAAAATCATGTATGACCATTAAGTGTAACGTCTGGTTACAGTAAATGTGTTTTGTCATATGCACATCATCGTAAATGTCCCCTACCTATAGCTCCTATAACCACTGATAATCATATGCAAGTTGAAATAACATTGTCCACTCTGAAGTACCTCAGGAATAACTGAAGTTATGACAAAAAGTCATGAAAATATTCAGTATAGATTACAAAGGACTGCATCACCATCTGTATCCAATACAAAACATGCAGATGGTACACAATTGAATTTTGTAAATAGAAGGAGTTATTATTCATGATGCCTCTATCCATGATGAAAAGTGAGATGTGTACTTCACAAAATACTTATTTCATATTAACACATGGTTTCTTGAACTGTGGATCCCAACCCACTAAGGGTTGCAACCTACTTAGGGATTGTCATTGACTTCTAAAGAATTATGTAGTATATAGCTGTATCAACTCACAGTTTTGACTCTGTAAGTCAGTAAGATTTAATATATATAAAGTAAGTAAACTAAAGGTATCCCTGTAACAGGCCGTGAAGGCCCATAGGGTTGTGAGACGTTGAGGGTCCCACATTATCTAGACAGTCGGCTCATAGATGGCGGTAAGGTTGTCAGCCTTATGCGCTGGCCGCACTTTACTCCCCAGGAAAATTATTTATTTAATTCCTGGTACTCATTTCTGTTAGAGGCTCAGTGAACCCCAGGGCCATAGTGCGGCCAGCAGGATTATGTCAATTGAAAAAAATCCAATGACCTCATTGGTATTTGAAACCATGACCTTCCTACTTGTAGCATAGTGCCTTAACCACTGTGCTACCGCGTGATATGTGCTTTTGTAAAATGTAGCTGTAGTCAGTGGAACATCCTGAAAATTCTTTGTAACTGTGTAGGTATTTAGGTTCATGTTAGCACTGTATGGGTTACAGTCACCATCAGACAGTCATTCAGCCATCAGTGTGGCAATTGTTGTCTTGTGATACAGCCTGGATTCAAGTGGTTTGAGTAACCCTAGGAGCTTTTGTTTGTTTGTTAATATGTTTTGTTGTTGTTGGCTGCTGTATTGAGAACAGAACTGGAGCTTTCCATCTGGTAAGCACTGGGGATACTTGAGCCAGTGTGAAGCTGAACAGCAGTGTCAGTCCTATAACAGTGTGAAGATATTTCTGTAATGGAATGGCATTGGGACACAGGCATACTTTGTATTTTGTTTAATTTGGAATTATTGTGACATTGAATTTGCTGGTAGATTAAAAGACTTTGGCATTAAATGGGAAGTATATATTCTACATTTGTTTTATAAACACACCCAAGAAATGACACCCTCTCAAGATGACAAGAAGTGACAGTGTATGGAATGCTATAGGAGTGAGTGTTCTGTGATTCACGCTTTCAAGTGATTATTTTTGTTTTAGACTTTTCTTTCTTTGGCCGGTATGTTTTAAAAATAAATCAGTCAAATTAGCAGGAGTACAGCTGTTTGTTGACTGACAGTATGGCATCTTGCAGAAATTTAAATTGATTACATGTTATGATTTTAAGTTTTCCTTTCTGTCTCTGAGGTTACAGACCATAATTTATTTGAAGTTAAGTCAAAATTCATATGTAACAGTGCAACAGTTTTTCTTTTAGGAACCTAAATGTCTTCTGTGTTGCAAGAAGCAGCTTTTTCCTTTATTTTCAGACAAGCTACTTAGTGCACTTGATATCACATGCTGTATGTTTTCACAGGTGAATACATTGTCTGTTCTGTAGTATTTTTGACTGAAGAGATATTAGGTTCTGATGTTTTCTGTATTGGCTGTTGGGGATGTATAATCATTTTATTGCTTTCTATGTTTTCTGTCTACATTCACTTGTCTCCACATCTGAGATAACTTGCTGCTTTGTTCTCCAACTGGTATTAGTATATTTAGTAATTAACTCTGGGTAAGTTGCATGCCCTTGTTTTGTATTTGTTACATTTTTTCAGATTGTTTCAATCATACCTAACTTGTCCTTCATCTGTGTAAATGGTTCCCAAACTGGGGTTCATGACTACACTGAGGGTATTTTGAATGTTTATGGTGGCTCACCAGAAGAAATGTACATTGGCAGATGTTTTGTATGCAGATATTTTTAATCAAGCAAACAATATGAGTAACACTGCTTCGTTTGTTTCAGTAAATATTTTCTATAGCTTTTTGCAGTAATATGGTTGAGATCTGTAATGTCAGGGATTTAATTCTAGGATGGTGGTGTTTAGAAAAGTTAGTTAACAGGAACCACATTAATATTACATAGATTTAAAATTCTACAGCTATGTACTGTGGGCATAAATGAAGGCTCCTACATTACCAAGCCTCTCTTCTATATCTGTATTTTATCAGAACAGACACTGATGTCCTGACATTCAAGGGGATAGAGGTGAGTTTAAATCTTTCCTCAAAATGTGGCCCTAGTTGATATATATACTCTGACTACCTGTTTTCCTTTCAGAAGAGAAATGATACGCAGAAGTATAGGTAGGTCCAGTCAAATGGTTTGAGGAGTTTAGATTTGTGTTTTAAAGTATTAATTTCTTAAATTTTTTAACAGAATGAGTATGTGGAGCAATGAAGTTTGGGAATCATTGCCATAGGTGATAAAGGTGTAAATTTTTATTGTTTACTGTGATTTGTAAGTGTAAGTGTACACTGTACCTTTCTTTTCCCCAGGAAATTCTATAAAACATGTTTCTTTCAATACTTCCATCGCTGTTCCAGTTTTTTCCTCATGTTTGGTTGCAGTTTGTTGACGTTAAGTGTTGCGCAGTTCGGAGAGAATGGGAGTCAAACGAGGCAGGATTCATCGACACTTCCTCTCTGATTTACATCCACAGTTCTTTTCTGAATATCACATAACCTGTTTTCCTCATTTAGACCTTAAAAGACACTGAACTAAAACATTAAAGCAGAGGCAAGAATCTTTTTACCATCAATGGATAACATAAAAATTTATGATGTTCATAACTTTTGGCAAATTAATTAAACATTCTAAGCTTATAATTTCATGTTTTAATAAAATTCAATGGGAAATAATTTTTGTTGTATAAAGTAAATTTCTGTGATATTCCTTTAGACAGAATCTATCAGGGAAGATTTTATTAACATGACTTAAAATTTTTAATTGAGCTTTCAGATTTTCTCCTTGCCAGTATAGCAGTGGAAAATATATACAACATTTGATCCTGATGTAAGAATCAGTAACTTTGTCACCTTAAACTGGTAAATTACCATTTCTTCACCTCATTCCTTGTGAGCAAATGAAATTACATTGGGACAGATTGTCTTACGTGTGTGTAGCAAAGTGGAATGTTCCAGTTGACAGCTGCCACAACTTCCTCATTGTATTCTAAAATTACATTCAAGCCTGAGTGTGAGTGGACTGGATTTTCCATAGTTCTGACCCTGTTTGAAACTGTTCTTGTGAATGGTGAATAACTGAAATTTTATTAGTTATTTTAGTGTGTGCAGGAAATGATCAAATTATCCACCTGGCAGCCTTGGACTTCCAGACTTGCTTGTCGCTCATTCGCCTCCGACGGTACGGTAGCTGATGTTGCTTGTAATGCAAGGGTAACTTCTGACCCTGACAGGTATCGGTTCCTGGAGATATACTACCGGCGAGGCGAATCCACTCACAAAGGGCGTGTGGTGCCAGCGCGGGTTGAAACAGTGGTACTATTTCTCCCAGATGTTTGGAGCTGTGTTCCTACACGCCTGGAGTGGGATGGCCTTCATCTCAACTACAAGAAACAACTGGAACGGAAGCTGAAGGCAGACCAGGATGGCACAGATGGAGCTAATGCAGATGAAAAGGCACAGCCAACCATACACAACCCTCTTTCTGCATCATTTTTCTTAGGGACCTTTCTTTTCTTTCTCAGTTTTCTCACCCCTGCCCCCCTGTGCATTGTAGAGTGTTTGTGTGTGTGTCTGTGTATATGAGAGAGAGGTGACTCCTTGCAGCCTTGTGGTTTATGATGATTCACATTTGTTCGTTTTGCTGACAGGCAGTGGTGGAGCCCATTGTTGGGAACTTAGGTTAGTGGGATTAAACTAAAACATGCAATCATCTTTTAAACTGCAGGATTATATCTGGAAGAGATGTATTTTGCTTCATGCAGGAAAAATGTCCCAAAGACAGCGGAGTTCCACGAAGGCTGGCAAAGCCATGAAGGGATGCTGTTCTAGCATCGATGCCGTCCTCAAGGGGAAATTTCCGTTTATAGTGTGAACCAGTGTATGCAGTGAAGTTTTGGAGTAAGGGGTATGGGGACACTGGGCTGCCCAGTTTGACATCAGGAATGCTGACTTGTCAACCACTTGGGCAAATAAATATTCCTAGCTATGGGGTCTGAATTTCCCAAGCACGGTGCACACCATTTGGAAGCAGATGTTATTTATTTGCTGTGCTTCAGTATAATTTAATGTTCTCCATAACCCAGTTTCTTGTTCTATTTAAGAAGTTAAATGATAATATTCACAGCAGGGAAGTAATGGATGTAAACTGCATTGATTATGCAGTATCAAAGCAACAATCTCATCTGATTGTTCTTTGTTTTCAAATGGCTCTTAGCTCTATCAGTAATGCTGCTAAGGAAGTTGGAGAGTAAGTGATCATTCGACCTGACGTCGTATGAAGGTGGTGGTTTTGTGTGTGAGGTGTGGTTATCAGCTGTTGAGATTGTGTTTCTGGCCCCCTTACATTGATCTCCCAGCCATGATCCATTGTCATATGTTTTAGAACCATGGCAAATGATAAGGTAGTGTTGAAGATAAGTTAACAAGTATAATGTTGGTTACAGGAAGGTGAAGAAAATGCGAGTGAGATCAAGAAGGAACCAACACACTTCTCTGAGCTGGATCCTAAGGGCATGAAGGTGAGTCCTCAGGTCTGAATATGGAAGGGATGGTGGTGATGTAATTTTAGAAGACAGACATCACATAAACCGGTAGTTCTTGACGTTATTTGGCATGGGCAGTTTCAAATACAGTCAACTCTCAATTCTCCGGGATAATGGTGGGCATGAAAATTACGATTAATCGAAAACCCGGTTAAGACAAATGTTATTAAAAGTAGGACTGTAATACTGTACCTTCATAATACTATAGGCCTACCTGTATTTAAATTTACTCAACCTCATTTTTATGTCATCTCATGGCCTGTTCAATACTTTTTTTTACATTATACTGAAGTGTGAATTAGTTATTTCAATCACAGTGTTCAACAACATCCAACACTTGTTATGAATATTCACACTTAACACTTAAAAAAAATTAATATTGTCGTTTGCTTTTTCACGGCATTTTCCTTTTTACGGATATCCGTATGAAGCCTACGTAATATTAGCTTGTCACTTAATAAACTGTTCTCTTCACTCTCAAGATAGTCTAGTAAGGATTCCAAATGATTAAGAGCAGCACCATGTGATATTTTCTTACTAGCAGCACTGTCCACCTCTTTCTCATTCTCACTTTCTTCCCGCTCTTCTGGCTGCACCCCCACTGAACTTACGGTTTCGTCACTGCTTAACATTTCGAAGCCAGACTCACACAAGTTTCTGTTGAATACTTAACACAACACGCTTCCTTTTACACCCTGACATTTTGCTAATGCACTTGAAGATTGATACAAAGAGACTAACCGGGGCGGTGTATCTGTCATTGAAACGGTACTCAAATCCTTGCATTCTTTCACCACTACCCTAGAACATTGTGTTAGCATAACGGGACCAAAAAATGCAGAGCTCGGTTTACACTAGTGCGAAAATAGCGTTACAACTCACCATGTGAAACAAAAGTGAATGAATATTAAACAACATATAAGCCTCAAAAAAGCCTCAGTAGCCCTGGTTAAGCCGCAAACTGGTTAATCCAACCCCCGGATAATCGAGAGTTGACTGTACATATTCAGAACTTATTATGGAATAATTTAAATATTTTTCTTTGCATCAGGATGCATAATGTCATAAATCTTATACTGAATAGAGCCGTGAAACAGGTTAAATCCCTTAATTTCAACAAGCTTTTAGTTGCAGTATCCACTTACTGTCTCTGTGGTGTAATATTTAAATATTGAAAAATATCATGTGTATTGAATCTGATTAACTTTTATCATCTTTTCATTTAAACATGATTTGTTATATATTTTTGTCAATAACAGAAGATGGGCATGAAAACCAATAGTGCCATTACACTGGAAATACAGTATTGTTGCAGAGGTATTTACACTGTCAAGAATCAGAAATTGTTGGTCATCTTAATTCATTAAAATATTCACCATATCAAAATTTTTTAAAATAATGTTCTGTCTTAATGATATCTATGTTTTATATTATTTAAACATATTTTGTGCATTTCTGAGAAAATCAAGTTTGATTTGAGCTTGTGTAAAATACAGTATATTTGACCATATGAATCAGAATTTCACACTACGACTTTTAGTACAGACGTCTGCCATCAACTTTGATCTAAATCCATTTAGTGGTTTCAGAAATTAAGCATGCTTGAATTAACTGTGTATGCATTCATTGTATACACTCCATTCTGTAATGCACAATAACAATATGAAAGTTACAGGTTAAGTTCTGAGCTAGCCTGGGTATTCATGATGTAGCTGTGGAAGGTTAACCTTTATCCTACGGCCCTTTAAACTTAGGCTGTGGCAGCGGTACGGAATTATTTAAAGGGCCGCTCTTAGAAATCCGTAAAAGCTGTAAGTTACTTACTAATTTTGCTCCTATTTCTGCTATTTCTGTGATAATCGAACGAAATAAACGCTGTTTTTTTCTCGAAAGAATATAGAATCAGATATTGTAATTTACAGATTGTATAAAACATGTTAAAATTTTTGCACTGACTCCAAAAAGAAATTTGCCAATTTTTTTCCTTCTCTGCGAGAATTCATACGTTTTGGACACCCCTGAATGCAATCTGGTGGATGGAGACACTCGGCAACATTGGAGTTGCTGTGTCTAGTAAGTTTATCTCAGTATAAAGTGACGTACCTCGTTCGGAATGTTGATTTGGACGAGTGAAAATAAGCTCAGTGTCTTCGCTCTCAGCTACAGTATAAAGTTCCTACTGTTCTTATATAGATCAAGGCTAACATTGTTTATGCAATTGCTTTTGTAGTATCAACAAAGCGATAATAGAGCTTAGTTCCTGGAATTGTGCAGTCGAAGTTTGTACATGGCCTAGTGTCGTGTGGATAATTCTATCAACGGAATAGGTCCGTGATTCTAAGGGTTCATTCGAAGTACTTTGAAGTTTTATCGTAACATGACGTAATTCAATAGGAATGAGGAGAGTGGGGGAATGAAATGAACTCAGTGCTGCTTTATCGAGCTGGGTTGCACACTTCTTTATACAGTTTCTTTACACTGAGTGCTTGGTTCGTAACTGGAAGTGTTCTGTCTAGCTATCTAATTAGTTCGATCATGGCATCGTCTCATCTCGAAGATTCCGACATATTTCAGCTAATAAATGACACCGATTCAGATTGTGGTACTGACAATTCTGAGAGTGACGTTGAAGGTAGCGAATCAGGAAGTGATATCGATGAAGACCAATCATCTTCGTCGGCAACCTGGGGACCGCCACACCGGCGTGGCACTAGGAGTGTGAATACTTATTCAGGTGGACCTGTGGGGTTAAAAACCCATGAAGCTCCACATGTAAATAAGGATTCCACCCCTTTCAGCGTTTTCATGCTGTATTTCGCAGAGATTATCCATCTGCTGGTGGAAGAGACGAACAGATACTACCACCAGCACATAGAGAGACGTCAAGACGGACCTTCTCCGCGGCCTGACGTGACCGAATCCGAGATGTTTCTGTTTCTAGGAATAATCATTCAGATGGGACATGACATTAGAGACAGACTGACGGACTACTGGTCGACTGCCGAACAATTTGCCACGCCTTTCTACTCTAAGACAATGAAACGCGACCGATTTCTTCACATTCTTCGTTTTCTACATTTTGCAGACAACAGGACAGAAATTGACAGGAATGACGACAGTTATGACCGACTTTGGAAAATTCGGACCATCTTCGACACTCTCAATGACGCATTTGAAAAATATTATAACCCTTCCGAACATTTGGCCATTGACGAAATAATTGTAAAATACAAAGGGAGGGTGATTTTTAAGCAGTACATTCCGAAGAAACACAAACGTTTCGGAATCAAAATTTTCAAAATTTGTGACGCCGCTGGGTATACGTATGACATGAAAGTTTACCTAGGAAAAGACAGGACACGTGCCGACCGAGACGTGACAGCGACACATGCTACAGTTAGGGACCTGTGCAGGCGTATTGAGGGCGTAGGTCACAAACTGTACATGGACAATTTCTTTTCTTCGCCCGACTTGTTTGACGAACTGATGACAAAGAAGATAACGTGCTGTGGGACAGTCAGACCTAATCGGAAGGGCTTGCCTGACGATTTTCGACGAAGACAGTTTCGACTTAGGAAAGGGGACATTCGTGTTAGGGTGAGACAGAACATGACAGCTCTAGTTTGGAAGGACAAACGTGACGTTTACATGCTGACAAATATGCACTCTCCTCCAGCAGAAGGCAATTTCTGTGGTGAGCATGGAAATGCCACAAAACCAGCTGTTGTTGCTGACTACAACAAGCACATGGGTTATGTGGACAAGGCGGACAGGATGGCAAACAGTTATGGCATCTGTCGTCGGACCTGGAAATGGACAAATAAACTATTTTTCCATCTCCTGGATCTGACGATTCTGAACAGTTATATCCTGTTGTCATCCTGTGGCGCGAAATTGTCACACAGAGATTTTCGTCTCGCCCTTGTGCGGAACATGCTGGAGCTCGCTGGAAGGGGTCCACCTCGCCCTCAACGGCCCAGGGGTCGACCCCCGGCTGTTAGATCGGAGCCATCTCGAATAGGGGAGGTCACAATACAACATTGGCCGACTTCCTCTACTTCGAAGTTGAGATGTCGTGAGTGTTCTTCGCGTGGGATACGAAGAACCGTCCGGACAAAGTGCGTCAGGTGCGACATCGGACTGTGCATTTCCGGATGTTTCCAAGAATACCACACGAAGGCCACATTCCGGTAGATGAGGCAGGTGGGAAGACAGACGCTTCATGCAGATGGTGGCCACAAATTACGTAAGTACAAAATTATTTTTTACGTTAAACTTTTATTTCAGGTAAAGATAGCACGCGCGGACTGTGCGACCAGGAGTCGAACCCCTGCCGTTTTATCGGAGATATCTCGATTATAGAAGGCCAAACCACATCACTGGCCGACTTCCTCTACTTCGCAATTGAGGTGTCGTGTGTGCTTTTCGCGTGGGAAACGAAAGACCGTCCGCACAATGTTCGCGAAGTGCGAAATCGGACTCTGCATTTCCGGATTTTTTTAGAATTCCACACGAAGGCAACATTCCAGCAGATGACGCAGGTGGGAAGACAGACACTCCATGCAGATGGTGGCCAAAAATTATATAAGTAGGACATTATTTTCTACCTTAAAAATGTATTTCAAATAACGTCCGCACGCGCGGACTTTGCGACACCACATGGCGTCATTCGTACCGCTGCCTTTATATTTGCGACGACATACGGTGTCTTTTGTCGTTTAAAGGTTAAGAGCAGATTCATGAATTTAACTTCTGAAAATGTGGGAGGGAGGAAAGAATAGCATTAGACAGTGCAGTGCTTTGTGAGGAAGTAAGGTGTCCATATGTGCATAATGTCTGGTTCATTGCCATGTAAATAAATGAAGTGTTTCATTGTGACTGGACATATAGTTTCCCACCCATTTCAAGATTTTACAGCTGAGTATGTAAAGGCAAGAAATTGTTACATGGCATCAATAATTTTGAGATTAGGGACAAAAATGAACTAGCCTTTGCTACAGGGGAGGGTAAAATGCAGGGCTTGAGCCACCATATTGAATCCAGGGGTTTTTGTAACCTGAAACTGAGGTGAAGTTGGGATATAAGCAGTCAGGATATATTGTGTGATGAAATCCCTGCAAGTCTTTTATACACAATGTTGATATATGGAATTCCACATGGTTCTTGCTGAAGAACCACATGTCACCCTGTGTTCATAATTTATTTTGCATTGTACCAACCTTTATCAAACAGGGATTTCCTGTCTTCATCTCACACTTCCATGATTTCTGACGCAAATTAACGTCTTGTACTGTGCGAGTATACAGAATTGGCTTAACCTTGAAGCATAAGTGGTCAAAAACATGGACTGAATGATTTCTCTGCTGATTTTCTATCGATGTTCAGTTTCATTCTGCACATCTTGCAATGAATAATGGAAAGCCTCAGGTCAGGCAAGTTTCTTTGCCAGAGGGGATAAGTTATTCATATTAGAGAAAGAAAACTTGTTGGTTATGTAATTGTTTAATGTGAAAAAGAAATGAAAGATATGAATCTTTTTGTTAATTCAGAAGGAGGGAATTTTGAAACATGGCATGCCTGTAGGACAAAGTCTCATGCAGGTTGCTCTAAGAGTTTGAAAGGAATTATTAGGGAACAATTTGTAGAACTTTATTTGCCAAGACAACAGCTGCAAGGTTGAGTAAATTCTCCAATTAGACAATGGAAGTTTTGTGGGATCAAGAATAAGATGTGGGTGATTGAAGAGAAGAGCTTGTCACATGTTTTGTCCAAGCTGTGGAGGTAAAAATGGGACCCTATCATAACTCACTTGCAGGTTTAGCACCATTAAAATTAAATATGTACTTGTCTCCATTCTCATCTAAGAAATGGCTGCTTTCCAAGGGATTTTCTCACCAACATTTTTATGTATATCTTATTTATCCATTAGAGTAACATGTCCAGTGTTGGGCTGGTTAAGTTAACTGTAACACTCTTAGACTTATCCAAGAGAAATAGAGATGAAGACCTCCCTCCTCCATATTTCCTTGCAGATGTTGGGATATACATGTTATATAACCTCTGCAGGTAGAACATAATCTGTATACCTACTCAGATGCTGGAGTTCTTGCATCACCTTATCAGCAAAGTGAAAAGTGTATACATTTAAAATTCCCCATTTTAGCACTGCCCACTTCTGAAATCCAGAAATTCATATGTATGAATTACACATAGTAGAGAGTCATCTTTGAAACAGTGACCACATTGGGCTGTGGTTGCTCTAGCAGAATATCCTTTGTTGGCCCAAATGATTCACAAGTGGTAGGAAGTGTAGCATGAATTTCAGATTGATTGTACATTAAAAGTACTTATAAGAGTTTAGCTGAAACACGGAGCAGATCCTCCTGTCATTGTTGTACAAGTGTTCTCAAGTCATTTTGACATGCATGATGACTTTTTAGTTTTTCGTTAATGCTCCATTGGTTTGAGCCCTAGACATTACCACAACTAGTAATGTGGTGATTTGCTGTTATGTGCACCTGCTCAGGTGAATGAACTTCGACAGGAGTTGGAGGCACGCACCTTGAGCCCAAAGGGGCTGAAGTCTCAGCTTATAGCTCGGCTCACCAAGGCTATCAAGACTGAAGCGGAGAAGGCTGAAGAGGAGGAAGTGAAGAAGGGGGATGATCCTGAGCCTGTACCCAAACAGGAGTTGGAAGACAAAGATGATGAGAAAAAGAAGAAAGAGGTAAAGGTACAGACTGACACAGAAGAGTATAATAATATATTATTTTGATGCGTATTTCTTTCTCACAGTTTTTAAGGTAAAAATACAAAAAAAAAACTGTGAGGAAAAATCGTTTTCTTAACACAGTGAATGAAGTTAAATGCTGGAGTGAAAGGAGGTGATTAGTTCCTAATATGGACTAAAGTAGAATGTTGTGCTGTGCGGTAGTAGATGCTTGTTCAACTTCAGTCGAATATTGCAGCAGTAGGGTTAAGAGATACTGTACATTCTGTGATAGGATTTGTGTAAGATTTTGATTGTGGTGATAAAGGGGCATTGTGAACACTCCCAAATTTTCCACTTTGAGGTTTTTAGTTCTTTTTATTACCTTGGTGAAAAGNGGGGGGGGGGGGGAGTGAACCAAAAAAAAAATAAAAAACAATTGTATCTGGGCTGAGCTTGCAGAATATGGTGGAAACAATAAATGCATACAAAAGTTTTTAAGTGGCTAGCCTGAAAGGTCCCATTCAGGAGGCATGAAAATGTGATGTGGATTAAATTTTCTCATATTAAGGACTAAATATTATCTCTTGTAAGTGTGGCCATGAACATTAGGTGTAGGCATATTGACACAAGGAGCCTGATTAAATGTAACAGAGTAGCAGGGACTCTCAATTAATGTCAACCAGCTCATAATGCATAAGGTGATTTCATGATAGGTGTTCACTGATATACTGTGCCTATAATGGGGAGAGAGTATAATGTTTATAGGGTCTTGGTCTGAATCTCTGCGACTCAAGTTGATTCAGCACTGTGTTCTACACCTGTGCGGTCTAGAAAACCGAGATTAATGGCCATGGGAGTCTATTGTGCTGAACCTCAAGCAAAACAGTGATTTGCTATTTCTTTTGCCAGTACAGGCATTCTTAGTTTCAGGCCCTGTCAGAACCTATGACCATATTTTTGCTGTTTCCAAGACATTTATAAGTTATGACTTGCTGGTCCTGTCATATTTTTATGTCTCATTCTCTTGGTTTTAGTTGGTTGGTTGGATGAATTCCTGCTGGCCGTCACCAGCACAGTTCCAGGTTTCAGGCCCCATAGGGACCCATGACCAAATTCTTACTCATTCCAAGACCACTTATATGTATGTTATATGTCTCCTCTTCAACTTTGGCTCAGACTGAATAGAAAACACTGCCTCCAATAGTTCCACTGTTGTCCACATATCCATTGCCACGGGAAATTATTTACTAAGCCATTGCCTCACAGTGGATGTATTTTCTGGCTCCATTGTTCTGGCTTTTAGGTGTCATGTGACAATATAATTTGTTAAATGTATATTACATGATGCACAGTGACACTCAAATACAGTATCTACAGTATCTCTCCTACATGGAGTTTATTAGTTAATCAGTGGACAGCTCATTAATATGGTTCTGAAGAAGGAAATCCATTCCTTTGGCACTCTGCAGATGAGCCAGTGAAATTCTGCTGTAGCTTGAGATTATTAGAGACTAATAATTTAGCCGTGTAAGAAATTTGTGCGTATTTTAGTGTTTACTATTATGCAAATAAGGGGCAGTTATACAAACTGTGTAGCACTGATTTGTTTCTGTAATATTCTTTTTCTTTGTGCAGGAGGAGGAAAAAAGGAAGCAGGATGAACGAGAGAGAATAGCCAGGGAGAAGCGATATGCATTGCCAGAATCTCCTCATATTGTGGTACACCCCTCACGCACAGCCAAATCAGGGAAATTTGACTGTACTGTTATGTCTCTGTCCCTACTACTTGATTATCGACCAGAAGACACTAAGGTGTGTATTGCTTAACTGATTACATGGATTTTTTATTTTAATATTAGTAGAGGTTCACATACATGCATAGGACAGGATTGGTATGGTGTATTAAAATTGACTGGATATCCTAGTATAATGCCTCTTTTTCATAAAGGTTCCTTCTTTTGGCCTTTTCTTCTTCCACTGTGTATCCAGTATCATGATGCATGAAGACTCCAGAAAATTTGATGGACCACTTCCCAGAGTTTATTTAATTTCAGAATATCTTCAATTATGGACTCTGACAGGTTTTCTATGTTTTTTTTTTCTCCTTTGCCAGACTGAGTTGTGGGATAGTGAAGGATATACCACTCCTTGATTTCAAGAGACTGGCCATTGTGGTGTAACATTATATCAGAGTTTCAATAAATACCAGTGCCTTGTTCAAGAAGGCTGAAAGGCTGAAGTGTCATGGTATAATAGATAATCTTCAGGGGATGAAGTGCCACTGCCTAATTTCATAAGATTAAATCATGTGAATACAATTGTTGTATTTACTTGCATACTATGTACCTCTTTTTTCTGAAATTAGTTTCCAGAAAATATGTTCTGAATCCCACAAGGGAATATTCATTTTTAAACAGGTGGCTTGACATAGTATTAATAATGGTTTCATTGTGATAGTATTTCATACATGGAGTAATGCACATCCTACCTCACACCCCACCCCACTTGCATACCACTTCCTGTAATAGATGGGTATTTGACTTGCGTAATCATGCCATTGTTGCCACAGCTGTCCGCTGAATTAGCCTCAGTAGCATATGCATGGTCATTAGGAGTAAATGGGTTTTGTTTTATACAGATTATCATACACTTGCTAAGATAAATAAGACATTCAGATTGTCAGTGGTATATGAGGCTGAGAAGTAGGAAGTCATGCATGATAGTGAAAGTGTGACTACTGTTCAGTAATGACAACAGTAACTAGCAATGGTGGACATTTTGAAGCTATTCTATGGACATTTTTCCGTGAAACACTGTTATAAACAATATTAGGATTGTATATTGTGTTTCCTTATTATTGTTCTCCCATAACAAATGCAGCAGATTCTCCAAAGAAAGTGTTTACCATCAGTTTTTTCCTGTGCCAGTTTATTTCCCCCTAAATTCTGCTCCTGACAATTGGGTCACATGTGATATATGAGGGCATATGCATAAGCAGATTTTAATTACAGTTATGGTGGGGTTAATGCCATTATCTATTCGCGTAGTGGGGGGTGGAGTCCAACTGGGTCCACTCGGCAGGGCGGCCACTGATTGGCCTGTTGTAGCCTGCCCTGGGTGATTATGATGATGGAGAATTTGGTGGAATGAAGATTGGCAAGGGAAACAGAAGTACTTGGAGAAAACCTGCCCTAGTGCCACTTTGTCCACCACAAATCCCACTTGACCAGACCTGGGATCAAACCCGGGTTACTGTGGTAGGTTTGATCTAAAAAAAATGTTACACTTTCTTCTCAATAAATACATCACTGACTGCTTTTTATAAACCATATCTGGTCATATGTTTTACTGTTGTAATTTGAATGAAAATTTTCCATTTTTTATGATTGTTATATGTTTCAGGAACATTCTTTTGAAGTTTCTCTCTTTGCTGAGCTGTTCAATGAGATGTTGATGAGAGACTTCGGATTTCGAATATATCGTGCTTTGAATGATGCTCCTGAGCGTGCCAAAGAAGATGAGAAGGTTGGTAGAAGCATTTTGACAAAAAAAGTTATGCATATAATAAAACTAGCAAATATGTAACACTTCGTATAGTTCTTTAATGGTAATACCATAGACAGTTTTTTTACAGTACATGAAAATACTTTGACAGTTATTAAAATTCTTTGCAAGCTCTCTGATACAAGTACTTTATTTTAATGTCCATATTTGTTTCAACAGGATAGGAAGAAGGAGCGTGACAAGAAGGATGAAAAGGACAAAAAGGACAGGAAAGATGATAAGAGAGATGATAAAAAGAATGGCAAGAAAGAGGACAAGGATGAAAAGAAAGAAGACAAAGACAGGAGAGATGATTCTAAGAGTAAAAGTGATGAAAAGGAGAAAGAAAGAGAGAAAAATGAAGATAAGGATGATGAAGATGAGGAAGAGGATGAAGATGAGGTAAGAACATCTTTAAGGTTCTCCCTGAAAAGAAGTGAAATGTAAGCAGTTGTTCTTGTGCTTAATTAATTAAGCACCATACCATGTGGATGTATGGAGGAGCAGAGGTATGGCTCCACCTCAGTACTAGAGGGAGATGAGTGGTCAGCTTCATGTCCTGGCTGCTTTACCTTCAGTGAAGGATCTCCAGTACTCATTCAGTAGGAGGCTGGGACTGTGGTGGTGCTGTGGTGAAGAGTAATATCTGTTACTACTACTGAGAATCAGACCCCAGCCATCCAGACCATAGCCCATCCTTATACCAGTTTAGCTGTCCTGCTTCTCTCTGAAAGGCAAAACAGTTGAAATAAGTTCAAATACAAAGTTGTGCATTTTTCTTTGATTATTTAGTGAATCAGCTTCCATGTGATTTAAAAAAAAAAAAGCTTTTGAAATTGGTTGATGACATACTCATGAATGGGCAACATATGTTCTGTGTTTTAACACTTCCAGCCTGGCAGGTGTACCGGTACCATGTGGCAGTGTTGTTATTCTACAGTTTTTATTACTGCAGTGGCAGCATTACTGTAATGGAACAACTAAAGAATTGAATGTATCAAGTCTGGTCTGTTTTATGATGGGAGTCATGTAATGTGACATGTAGACCCATTGCCAAGTAACAGCTGTGTAAACAATTTACAGTACAACAGCTGTTGCTAGGGAACAGCTCTGTGGACACATTTCCCCGGCAATGAGAGAACATGCAATAATGGAAGAGACATTTTCTGCACAGTCCATGCTGGGGCTATAAAATGAGTACTAGTAGTTCAGTTAAGTTAGTTGAGAGTTGTGAGAAGTGAGAAGTTAGCTGAGGATGAGAAAAGTTCAGGAACACAGGAAGGGGAACATCCACTGTTTGAGTCCTCTCCCAAGCAGTGGTTAAGGCAGACTGAGAAGACTTTATTTGTCTTATAGTTACAGTGATCTTTGAAGTGTGTAACTCAGTGAGACTGTCAAGTTATTTGTAGTTATGAGCGTAAATGTCCAGTAAAATTAAAATTAAATTCGCTTAATGGGAGGTGGAGTCCAACTGGGTCCAATTGGCATGGCGGCCACTGATTGGCCTATTGTAGCCTGCCTCGGGTGATTATGATGATGGAGAACTTGGTGGAATGAAGATTGGTAGGGGAAACTGAAGTACTCGGAGAAAACCCGCCCCAATGCCAGTTTGTCCACCACAAATCCCACTTGACCAGACCAGGGTTTGAACCAGGGCTGGCGCGGTGGGAAGCCAGCGACTAACCACTTGAGCTGTGGAGCAGCCTTAAATGTCCAGTAAATCCAATTACCAATCCAAACCTTCACTATAGTCATACGTGACTGATCACGTGACAGTAATATTGTGTTATGTCTTATAGTTTTGAGTAGAGGCTTATGTGTGTGGTTAATTATTAATTTTTATATTTGTGCTGCTTAACATTGCCATATACCAAGTATTGGTCAGCTTATGTCAAATTTCTGTACTTACCTCTTTCAACCCCTGTTTGCAGTGTGACATGAGAACATTATTTATTCTTTGTAACAGAATAAAGTGTGGCCATGTGAATCCCATATTGCCTAGATAAGTATGCCTCTGTCTTTCAGATGTGGTTCCTACACAGGAAGGCACCAAAGGTTTTGAGATGAAGAATAAATAATTTATATTTAAATTTTTGTCATATCAGTTATTCATAAAATTAAATTTATATTGTACACGTAGTAAGTAGGAGATCATTGCAGTGAGTAAATATCCCTTTCTCAGACTCCATGTTGTTTTTGGGTTTTAGGAAGATGAAGATTCAAAAGACAGCAAAAAAGAGAAAGAACGAGATGATAAGGACAGAAAGAGAGACAAAGATAAAGACAAAAAGAAGAAGGAACGAGTGAAGCTGTATACAGAGGATCCACATCTGTTGTTAGCATTTGTATATTTCGACCAGTCACATTGTGGGTACATATTTGACAAGGATATTGAGGAACTTCTTTACACACTGGGTCTGAACCTCTCCAGAGCACAGGTACAGATTTCAGTTAATGTAGCTGTCTGGTAATAGAACATTAAGGTTAATGTTAGTATTGCATTGCATCCTAAGAAATAATCCTGAGCCACTTCAGATGAGTTCCATTTTAATAATTTATTTGTGTAAGATCCATTTTAATGTTTCATTGTTGAAGTCTTCCATGTGTGTGCTTGCAAGAGGTTCCATAGGCATTTATTGCTTTCTCAACAGAGTTCATGTCAAGCCTTTTTTTTTTATTTGACTACCTCAACACCCTTATGTAGAAATGTGTAAATTTTTTGTTTTCTCATGCAATATCTTCCATTCGCCATTTACTTGACTTTCAAAGGATATAGAGTATGTTTCTAAATTATCATTGGGGTTTTTCATAACTGCCTTCACCTCCTTGTCTACTGGCCACAGTATCCCCGACTAATTTAGAATCACCCTGTGTAGTCCGATATAGACGTGTGAGTGTCTTGCAAGTGACCAGATGTCCGATCTATTGACAGTCCCATGTCTCCTTATTGAGGAGCCCTTTTGGTACCCTGTGTTAGTACTCACTCGAAACAAAGCATGCCATTTTAATTTTACTTTGCAAGTATGCAGCAGAGTACATGTATCAGATTTGTGTAAGCAGCTCTTATAATCACATGCAACAAGTTATTGACATTCTGAACCCAGACAGCAGAAATATTCTCCGCATCATTCCTGTTTCCACATCTGTAACAGTAGGATTGCTATTCAAAACTGATAAATGTATGTGGGGAGGTAAATATGAGAGGAAAAATGTATTTCTTATGATTGGAATTATGTCATAGTGCTCAGTGGCACGTTGTTACCAAAACAAACTCTGTGGCCTGTAGTCCGCAAGTGAACTATACCGAACGAACGACTGCCGCTTGTTGGGGAAGTTAGTGCCAACTTTTGCGGATAGAGGGTGTCATGTGGTCAGCGCAATGGATCCCCACAGCCATTAATTTCGGTTTTCTAGACTGGAGCTGCTATTTCCTTGAAGTAGCTCCTCAGTTATCCTCACGAGGCTGAGTGGACCCCGTTCCAGACCCACTGCTTCTTGGAAAAGCTGGTAGTGCTGGGAATCAAACCTGGGACCTCTGAATCTAGTCAGGAACTCTGACCACTAGACCACAGAGGCGGTCCACACGTTGTTACCACTCTCTGTAATTTTCTTTGTTGATTTTCTTATGAAGCAGTCGTATGAATCTAGCAGAGAAAGTATAGAGACAATATGTGTAGCTACTGAATATGACATTCTGGTGTTCAGTGGCCTATTTGTTTCCACCTTACGCATGTTGTTTGTATGGTCAATTTACAGAGAGCAGAAAATATGAATGCTACTTGTTTGGAAACAATGCACAGGGGATCACTGGATAGAGGTTTCAATGTAGCCATCCTCTTCTGGGTAATTTTGAATTATCATTGTTTCCAGATGCTAATAGAGACAAAACTTCTAACCAGTGATGCTCGCCAAAATCTCAGTTGGTGCCAGTCTTGTCACTGTTGTCAGTGCTTTCCCAGCTTTTCCTTGGCCCATGTCATATCTGTTGTGTACATCAAAATAGGCAATTAAATCCTTTTACTTGTCACAACTTAACGTTTTCTGAAGTATTTCAATTCAAAACAATATTTTTAGTGGTCATAAAATTACCCAGCTATGCAGTTTCTGTTTAGATTTTGCGCTTAGATTTTTTACATGATGAAATGAATCTTCTGAACACAACTGGAAAAATGTTTTTATATTTTACTTCAGTTGTTGTAATTTCTGTAACCACCCTTAACATTGGGCATTGTTTCTTCTGTCTGACCATCCTGATGCATTTTTGTTTACTGCCCTTAGCACCACCTTCCACTTATTGTCTAAGTATGTAGGAGATGGATCACAGGTAGGATGGTATTATTATGCCTAAGGTAGTACTGTAGTCCATCAATTAGTTAACCAGCATACCTATTTAATTAACCGTTCAGCGTGGTTTGACGTGTATGTTTCGTCAGGTATTTAAATCGTCTGGGGGGGTTTGACGTGTATGTTTCGTCCAGCTGCACACCTACGTTATAACGCCCATAATATTTGATGGTTTTGCTGTAGATTGTTAGATTTTTCGCTGGCCTGTTGTCAGGAGAACAACGAGAACGACGACAGGAGTTTAGCTGCGCTAAGTGATCGTTACATATGCCTGTCTTGCAGCAAAGTTCCTGTTGCTCTTGCGAGCGATTTCCTCGTTCAAGCTGTTATGAATGGCGTATTTTCTTTGCTCTGAAGCTATAAACAGCAGAGACTGATATGTGCTTGTGTTTATAATATCATATTGCCCTGAGCTGGCCACACTAACACACTCAATTGGAATTCTTAGAAGAGGGATGTCCACATTTTATTCTTGCCAGATCGATTGATTTCGCACAGTACATGGCAGCCAGTTCTTAGAAAAACGCCACAAATTAAGGCAGAACACTGTGGTCACCCCCTGTGACGATGGGTGTGTGTGTGTAGGGGGAAAAGAACGCATTCCTTCATGTATTATCGCTCCAGTTGACTCCATTTTATCGTACTGACCTTGGTGGTCGTTTCGAGGGATG